AAGGTTCCACATTTCAGGAAAACATTTACACCTTTGAATCACTTAAACGAGTCCTCGGATGAATTATTCAAGAAAGTTGATTGAGTTGGAGTTACAGGTACTACTATCAGGCCCTGAAGGAATCAAGTCCTTAAAGTCATTCTATACTATAAAATAATGTAATCGTTCCAATAATTCTTCTTGCTAGTCTCCAGGCCACATACAAGATATAAAAAGCCAAAGGCAACAGATAAATTCTGTCATATATAAAGTAGTCCGGCAAAACTTATTTGAAGTTGATTCTTATACTTTTATTTTACAGAACAGACAAGCAATTATCAGGAAGCATGAATACTTTATCTAAGTCACAAAGAAGTAAATAGCAGAGCCCAGATTTTGAGTTGCTCTTTGATTTAAAATCCAGGGCTTTTACCCACTCTATCCCAGATGTCTTTCTTTTAGGTTTATCAAGTTGATGTGATTGTAAAGTTTTTCTTTCTTTCTTCCTTTCTTCCTTCCTTTCTTTCTTTCTTTCTTTCTTTCTTTCTTTCTTTCTTTCTTTCTTTCTTTCTTTCTTTCCCATATAAATAAGGGTACCTGTTCCAATTCACTGTCTGTTTCTGCAACAATTCAGTGATCAAGGATAATAGTGTAACATAATTTATTTATATTCTCATTAATTATATAAATTTAGATGTTAGATAACATAGGAAATATCTGTAAACAAATACACAAAATGTTCCCCTAATAAAATTTTGAATATTCCCCCTTTTCCCCTTTAAACTACTGTAATAGTTTCATGCATAGTATTTATGTCTATATTCCACATTAATAGCTGTTAATCATGTGTTCCATTAACAGCCAGTCTCAAAAATATATATATATCAAGAGTAAGCTATTAAAGTAAGTGTGGGATGATGGCAATTACATGAATAACTAAAGCAAATATATTTTGAAATTCAAGAAAGAGGAGTAACTTTTAGCAGTTGCTTTGCTCTATGGTAGCTATTACTAAATGCATTGCTTTGAAGCAAATATTTTTATGAAAAATTATATGATATAGGTTTGATATCAATGTTAAATTTTAACTGATAGATTTTTTTTCCAAATAAAAAATATAGGCTAAGCAACAATTATCAACAAAAATGCAGATATTTCTGTTAGATAACCTATAAAGGAAATTAAACACTTTGTTGTTAGAACTCATGTAACATAAAATAACTAGGCTTATAGTAAACTGACTCATGTACTTACAGTTCACCTTCTTTCACAAGAGACCAGAGATTTCACAGCAGACTTGAGATCACTCTAGGAGAAAATGTACAATTAAGGAGAAAAGGGAGGATGCACTATGGGCAACTAAGCTATAATGGAACCTACAATTTGAGACCTTTTGTACTACATATTAAGTGGCAGTAGTTGGTTATTTCTATATCAGCTCTTCCCTAGCCTTTTCAAGGCTGTCTTAAAACATTTGAAAGAGAAATTAAATTTGTCCTGTATTTTCCCAAATTGTATATTGAATAGGTGTGAGATACTGAGATACAGATGTTAGTACAATTTAAGAGAATACTTGCAACAATGACCAGAAAACCCTGCATTGAAAATAGAGAAAGAGATATCCTTAGTGAAATTGAAGAAAGGGTAATAAGAAAAGAAAACATCAAATTTCAGTTAAAAATATACAGATGAAGCCCTGGCTGGTTTGGCTCAGCAGTTGGAGTGTCGGCCTGCGGTGCAGAGAGACCCGGCTTCGGTTCCCACTAAGGACATGTACCTCGGTTGCAGTTTGTCCCAGGTCCTGGTTGGGTCATGCAGGTGGTAACCACTCGATGTGTCCCTTTCACATCAATGTTTCTCTCTCTCTCTCTCTTCCTCTCTCTCCCTCCCACTTTTTCTGAACAAAAAATGGAAAAAATGTCCTCGGGTGAGGATAAAAAATATATATATACAGATGAAGCACAAAGTTCAAATGTCTAATCCATACAATAATATTTTTTTATAAAATGAAGAGAAAAACAAATAATGTTTCCAGAGAAGGACAATGGGAATTGGGCTGCTCCTTAACTAATACTAGAAGAAAAGTCACAGTCATATGGCCAGTCTGTATGTCTATACATTTAAGTTCTGGCTGATGAATGGAATATACTGAGTTTTAAAAATATGTTGTCATTAAAATATTTATAAAAGTGTTTTGTTTTTACAAATCACCCAGATTATTTTTGATGATGTTATTATCTTAGTCAGTCTGTGCTGCTATAACAAAATACCATAAACTGAGTGGCTTAGAAGCAACAGAAATGTATCTCACTGTCTGGAGGCTGGAAGTTCGACATCCTGGTGGCGACTTAGTCAGATTCTGGTGAGGGCTCTCTTTGGGGTTGCAGACTGCTGTCTTCTTGTTGCCCCTTCAGTGGAAAGAGAGCTGGAGAGTTTTCTGGAGTTTCTTTTGTAAGGGCAATAATGTCACTCATGAAAGCTCTACCTTTATGACCTAATTACTTCCCAAAGACCCAGTCTCCTAATACCATCACACTGGGAGTCAGGATTTCAACTTATGTATTTTGGAGAGATACAAATATTCAGTCCATAGCTTTCATTAAAAATATGTTAATTATTTTTCAATCAAATTAAAGTATTACATATGTACATACATACAGAAAGCAAGAAGAAGGGAATCCGCTGTGTATTAAGTACTAAGTAGTGAACAGGCCTGCCCTCAGGAAACTTATTCTAGAGTATATAAAGCTGGAAGAGAAAATAAAACATATAAAGTAGAAAGCATGCACATAAAAGATGCCAATCACCATTCCAAAAGATGTTGTTAGATTTGAATCATGAATTACATCTAACAAGATATTTAAATTTTAAAATAAAAAACCTATAGTCTTGTACTGAGATGCCTCTAAAACAACCATAAATTTATAGTAGAAGAAAAACATGACTCATCAGATATAAGAAGCCAGTTCCTGTGTTCATAAAAAATTATATCTATCATTTTTAACTTCAAGACCTTGTCCAGGGTAGACCTTTAATAAGTATTTGTCAAACTGACTTAGATTCATGTTTAAAAAATGTTGTCAATACTAAGCCTAAGGAGAGTCAGGAGAGCAATATGACTTTTTAAAAAAGGGGGAATCGGGGGAGGGGGAATAGGACCTTCCAATGACTATATTTATAGAAAGAGGAACTTTATAATCTTGCTCAGTTTTTATTGGTTAGCTCTGAAGCTGTACTTTAAGGGTAGAGAGACAAACTATAATCTGAGTAGAAAAGAGGCAAAAATATTGAAGCAACCCAAAACTACATCTTATAAGAAACAGCTGAAGAAAGCTGATGTTTAACTTGTAGAGGAAACTACTATATTATTTTCAAAAACATGAAATGTAATACTAATAACAATTAATTATTTATTAAACAACTACTATTGTATTGTGTATCTCATTTAATTCTGCTAACAGACATGTGAGGTCTTATTAACATTTTTTTTTACTGTTAAGAAAACTGTCATTCAGTGAGGTAAAGTAACACATCCAAACTCATACAGCTAAAAAGTTACAAATATAAGGTTCACAAGATGATTGGACTCCAAGGCCAGGATTTTTATGTTGCATCTATTTGTTTTTCACATGATGTGGTTCTCTGTGTCCTCAAAAGACTGAATAATGGCAGACAGGGTTCAGCTCAATGAGAGTGAACTGATATATTATTTCATAGGGAAAATGTGGTAAGGTACTTTAATTAGTCTCTAGGACATCTCTGTAAATGCTTATTGCTGAAAGTACACCCTTTAATGTACAAGGATAAAAAAAGAAATACTGAACACTGGCTTTAATAGCCTATGATTAGCAAAGTATATCTATGAGTTATCTGTTTACAAGAAAATGATAAAAATTATATTAGAATCAACTGTTCCTCCTAAGCTTCCTAACCCTCCCCATTTTGCTCCCCAAGAATGTAACTTTCTACAACCAAATGGGGATACTTAGTGGCAATGCTAATTATTACAATATATATACATGCACAATATACACATGTATAAAAATGAGAATTTCCTTGAAATTAGTATTACTTTTGCAAAAAAAAATAAAATAAAACTTATCCCTGGCTGATTTACAAATTTATTTCTAAAATAGAAGTGTTTATGGACTTGAAAATGACGTATCACATTTAAAATGTATCGATATTCCTCAACTTTGTGTGGACCACTCCAGTTAAGATGTCTATGAGGTTCCTCCTGGAATTTCTACACAAGAAAACCAAGTAAGTAATACAAATGTTGTTTGGTTTTGACCATTCTCCTGAGAAACACGTGTCCATGTAGGAAGTCTGGAGATGAAATGCATAATTAATAATTCCAGATTTGTGAGCTTTAAGATATGGAGGTTAAAGATTATTTGTGGTTAACTTTCCTGGATGCCACAAACCAACCCCCTGATTTCTGTAACCGGTCCTGGTGCCTCTTCCCCACTGGGCATAAATCAGATGCATCTAGAACTTCTACCCTAGGAGAAATCTAGGGACTAGAGAATAACAGTAATAGGTTTCATCCACAAAAGTTTATACGTTTCTCATTTCTTTTTCGGAGAAAAGATGAAGCTCATTTCAGGCAGGTTTGAAGGGCTGGAAATTCTCAGTTAGTGATATGAAAAACACAGTTACCTGTTCATGAATGTGCAGGAAAGAAGACTGAAGAAGAGGAATGTGTGTCCCCTGACCCAAGTGATTGCGATAGGCAGAAGGGATGGAGGAGCGCTGGGGTGTGAGGGTTGCTGGAGTTGCCCGAGGCCGATGTCATCCCTGTCATTATACAGAGAGAATGACGCCAGGAAAATAGTAATGTCAGCCCCTTTTCTTATGCTTTCCTGCTGTCAGAAACTAACTCTTCGTCTGAAACCGCCCACCCCTTCCTTCCAACTCCCTTCTCCGTGCTGCCCCTCCTCAGAGGTGTTTGCACAGGCGAGTGCCGGCACAACTCGTTGGAGCTCTTTGCGCAAAATCCAGCCCTTCTCGCTCATGTTTCCCCTCCAGCCTCTGGATCCCGCAATGCCCTCCCTCCCCTCCCTCTGGCGGTGCGGGGTTGGGGATGTGCCTCTGTACTACTAAGGTGGGAGGGGGCTGCAAGGAGAGGATAACGTCAGATGCTCAGTTCTCCCCTTCTGCCTGACGCTCCTGTCTGGATTCGCCAGGGCTGGGCTCTGTAAGAAATAACAGGAGCCCTGGCCGCGGCTGGAGGAAGAGACTAAGGCGCACGCACCCTGAAAAGTCCGTGTACTCGCGGTAACCTCCCAGCGAGGTCCCACGGCCGTCAGCACCATGGACAGCGGTGTCCCCAAGCCCGCCAGCAACTGCACCGATCCCTTCCCTCACTCTTCAAGTTGCGCCACAGCACAGAGCCCCGGTTCCTGGGTCAACTTCTCCCACTTGGATGGCAACCTGTCCGACCCGTGCGGTCCGAACCGCACCGAGCTGGGCGGGAGCGACGGCCTGTGCTCTTCGACCAGCAGCACCCCTTCCATGGTCACGGCCGTCACGATCATGGCCCTCTACTCCATCGTGTGTGTGGTGGGTCTCTTCGGAAACTTCCTGGTCATGTACGTGATTGTCAGGTAAGAACGGCGCCGGAGCCCCGAAGGGGGATTTCGGGGCGAGTGGGGGCACAAAGGGACACCTGAGCCCCCAGGCGGAGTGTTTGGTGAGAAGATGAGAAAGGGGGTTAAACAGGGGAGAATGTGGGGCAACGGACTGGTTGCTGTTTACGTGCAAAATGTTGCTTTTCTATTTCCCCCCATTGATAAAGAAGAATCCAAAATTTCAGAAACAAAAGTTGCTTTGGAAAAAGCTGCAAAGCTCGGGGGGGTGGGGGGTGGGGATCTCTATCTTAGAGTTCCCTTGTACGGAGCCTATACTGAGCAAAGAGGGCTCTTGGGCACAGTCCCACTGTTTCTTTGGCAGAAGCTCTGGAAACAGTAATTTGTGAATAATGGAAGAAGGATTCTAGTTTATTTGCTCTAATTGGGTGGCCAAGACTCCTTCTCAGTCCTTTTCAGAGATGCATCTTGGCAACTCCCCTGCTCCTGCTGTTTTCCATATAGTCTGCTGTACCACATCCCACCCCCCTTTTCCCTCCCGTCCTCATAGCAGCTGTTACCCCATTCCTTCTCTCCTGTGGCCACACTCAGAGAGGAAGTTTTCCTCTATCTCTCCAGTGTTGCTTTGTTCTAACAAATGTGACAGTTGTGTTGCCAGTTTTCAGTTAGCAGCTGGGGACCTGCTAGGGGTGTCACAGACTGAATTGGTTTCAGAAGTGCAGGACATGACTGTTTCAGTGACTCCAAAGAGTGAATCAGTGAGAAGTGACCAAAAGCAGCACAAAACTGGATTATAAGCTATTCTATAGGACATTGTAATGGTTGCTCTTAAATTTAAAGAGTGTCTTTATCCAGGGAAATTATTTCAAAAGAGTTTGTGACCCATTTTCTGTTTCCCAGGGTTACTTAGCAAAGAGTGTGCCAGCTCTCAATATTCACTGAGATCGATATAATTGTGTTAGTGCTAGTGTGTGTATATAAATCCTGCATGTTCATATGGAATACTATATATTCACTTTTGTTAAAGTAGATAAAGATTTTTAACACTTTCAAATGGTCCTACTTGAAGATTTTCTTCCTGCTCAGGGTTCTATGTGTTCTATGCATGTAGTGAACATGGAATTTTCATGTTTAACTATAATGTTTGCTTCATCTATTCTGCAGATATTGCAGGTTTCAGCAGACCTCTTTCATCACTTAACATTTTGTTTTCCTCGTTATGCTTTCATTATCTAGGTGCTGCGCATTTCTTGTAATTTATTCTTTCTCCTTTTATGTCTGATTTCTTTAGTTAATGATTATTAAAGAGTAATACTAATTCCCTGATCTTTTGATGAGGAATAAGTAGTGTCTCTGAGAAAATAGCACCATCTATCGAGAAGAAAGTTAACAACACGATAATTCAGGAAGGCAATCAATTGAAGAATTTATTTTTATAAATATTTACTTTTATTACGGATTTGTTTTTATAAATATTTACTTATGAAATCCAATACAAACATTCATATTGAAGATAAAATATACACCTCACTTTGCAGTTATGATAATAAAAATCATAGATAAAGGCCTACCTGATGAAGGTGAAATATGTTTCTCATTTTCCTAAGAAAATTCATGGAATCATAAGCTTACAGGACTAACAGGGACCCTAGAAATTATCTATGCTAGGTGAGTAAACTGAGGCATAGAACATATAAATGATTTCTCCAAAGACAGATAGTTTATTAGTTCAATACCACTGAATGTCTCCAGCCAACATAATTTTCTTTTTATTAGAGTGATGTCAGTTCATTCAGCTAAAAGAATGACAGAGTAGGTTTAGTTCGCAGTAATAATGTAGAAATAATAAATTTTGCCACATTTATGTTTAGAATACTGAAGAATACAGGATGAATAGAAATCACCACTGCATCTAGAAACTCTGTCACCTGAAGCATTATTGCTTTTTCTCTTTTGTTGCTTCTGCTGGTATTTTCCTTCATCATTTTTCTCTTCTCCAGTTTATGCTTTTCAATAAATAGACAGCCGATAGAGCAGCAACTGGCTGTGAAATAAGCAAATTGATATTTTTCCAAAGTTTAAGGAATTTCTAGTTAGGTGAGTTTATTCTGACCTCTGACCTCTGACCTCTTAATGACTTGGAAAAAGATGGTGACATTTTATCTTACTGAGAACATGATATTATGCTTTACTTCTCTGTACTGAAAGTTCCACCAAAATACCAGTATGATTTTAAAGGTCGCCCCAAACACTAACCTGTGGCAACTCAAGTATTTAATCCAAGGTCAGGTAACCCTCTGAGAACATAACTGTGAAATAAGGGGGAAAAAAACAACAAAAACACACAGTTCAGGGACTGATGAAGTGATGGTAAAAGTAACTGAGAATTGAAGAAAGCATGTCTGTTCAGCTGAGAACATTTAACTTGACTGTTTCCAGGCAGTGATGTTTTATCTACAAAATGATCAGTTTCGCGATATGATTGTCCTTTTTAAACAAATGAGGGTAGAGGGGGTCAAATATACGCTGATGGAAGGAGACTACACTTTGTATGGTAAGCACACAATGCAATATAAAACTGATGTATTATAAACTGTACACTTAAAATTTATATAATCTATTAACCAAGGTAACTCCAATAAATTTAATAAATTTTAGAAGATAAGTATAATTTGCATCTTTTAAAGTATTGAGATAAAATGTTCACATCCTACTATTATTTAAAATTCAATAAATACTTTTAAATGGTCAAGGAGTTACAGTTTTCTAACCAGATGAAGGTAACATTTATTAGAATGTCTTAATACAAACATAACTGGAAATACAGGTGCTATAATGAATGCTTTTCTGTTCTGTGTCTCAACGTCACCATCAGCACACCTTGAATGTTATGAAACAGTATAACAAGTAGGATTCTTACATGGTACTGTATTAAGGAACATAAGGGAGGAAAAAAGATAGTGTCGTCTGATCGAAAGATTTAAAATGTAAATGTTAAAAATGAAATATTATAAATATTCAGCACCTGTAAACTCTTTTGGTTGTAGGACAATATTATAAAAACTATCACAAAGATTCTAGAAAATGTGGTGATAAAAATATTATAAAATGTAACAATCATTTAAAATGGGATAATATATTATTGAAAATTAGATATATTTTTTTCTTTTAATCCTTACTTGAGGATATTTTTCCATTTATCTTCAGACAGACTGGAAGGAGGGAAGAGAGAGAGAGAGAGAGAGAGAGAGAGAAACATTGATGTGGGAGGGACACATCAACTGGTTGCCTCCTGTATAACCCCAACCAGGGGGCTAGGGACCAACTACAACTGAGGCATGTGCCCTTGACAAAAATTGAACCTGCGACTCTCTGGTCCATAGGCCGACATTCTAACCACTGAGCCAAACCGGCCAGGGCGAAAATAATATATTTTTAAAAATTATACAACCCTGGCTGGTGTTGCTTAGTGGTTAGAGCATAGGTCCACGCACCAAAGGCTGGTGGGTTTGATTCCTGGCCAAGGGCACATATGTGGGTTGCAGATTGGATCCCTGGCACCACTCAGGGTTTGTGGGGGAAGGCAACCAATCGATGTATCTCACATCGATGTTTCTCCCTCTCTGTCTCCCTCCCTCTCTTCCACTCTAAGAGTCAATGGACAAAATACCCTCAGATGAGGATTAACCAAAAAATAATTAGTCCAAATAATGCATAAAGTTATAGTTACCAGGAGTATTTCACTTATTGAAAACATTTGACCAAACTACAGAATTAACCATAACTGGGAAAACTGATATAGTCTTAAGTGTGCTTTATTTTGTAAGATTTTTTTTTTTCCAAAATGATTTGATTGTGGAGTCATGGCCATGGTCTACGGACTGTTTTTAAAAAGTAGAGGGTTAGAAACTGTTATATCTCTCTGGAGGCTCCAGTAAAGAACACCAAATGAAATTGCCTTCGTTTTTAAGACCAGATAAATTCTTAATATGACTAGTTACCAGAGAAGAGTATTTAAATATATGCATAATGTTATCATTATTTTTCTTTCACTCAAAAGTATCTCTAATTTTAAAACAAGTCCTATGAGCTTACATTTGCTTTGTATATATAAATATTTAATTTAGGTTTAAACTACAAAATGATCAGTCATGCCTGATAGAAACAGAAGTACAAGATTTCTCACTTAATTCAGATGTAAGTAGCTGAGAAAATAAGAAAAAATAATCTGATTTAATTTAAGGATATATATGTATTTGTATATACATATAAATTAATTTGAATGTATATATCACTGAATATGGTCACTAGTCATTTTTATGAAATAAAAAAGTTAATAGTTCATTGAGAAAGCTCAAATACTTATAAAGCTCATTTTCTTTTATAACTATAAAATATCCTAGAGTATGGATTTAAATAAAAAACAACTACTAAATAAAATTCTATTTTTAGCATAATGATTTACCATCAAAACATAAGAATTTAATTGGATGCCTTTCGCTTTGCAATGGAGAGCTTCTAGTATCAACTACTACAATTCAAACTTGAACTGCTCATTCCCATACAGGTGCTAATTCTGTTGGGAACACCTCTTCCTCAGTGTATTCTGACAACAGTAAATTGCTCTAAACTTCCTGTGTTGTAAATAGTGTCTTTGTCATTTTCTTAGAGTTATCACTGAGTCTCTTCTCTTTCTCTCTTTTCTTTCTTGAAAGAATGAGCTGTCTTATATTTTATGAATATTTTCAACATAAAAGAATATGTAGAGAATACAGAAGAGTCCTCACCTTTAAAAATTTACGTATATATAATATATATTACATACTATATATAATAACATAATATTGTTTATATTTATATAACATAATATAAAATAGATCATTATATATAATTAATATATTATGTAATACCTAATATAATAGAATTTATAATTATAAATACATAATAAAATATAATATATATAGTATTTATAATATATGTCAGAAGCCTTCTTTCTTCTCACTTTATATTCCCCTCCC